GCAAAAGTGGATAAAAATTTAAGAAATTAGTATTTCTTGGATTCATATTTCACATATTTCACAAAATATGAATCCATAGGCGACGGCAGAAAAAATATCCAGGTTTCCTGTAGTTTCAGGTCATTTCTCCATTTCTCCACTAGGTGTAGCTGCTACTCTAGTTTTTTTTAATATAATAACGTTGTTTTTTTGTTTTTTTAATAGACCACCATATTTATATAATTTTGTACGTTATATATGTCACCTTATCGGTTATTTGATGTACCAGTTCGTGGTTTTATTACCATTAGGTAACAACTATAACGTTACACAGAACACGGCTATTTTTGGTCACTGGTGATGTCGTGTAACAACATCAATAACGTTGGCCTGCACGTTTCACCGGTCTCATTTTATATAGCTCATGGACCCTCGTTCAGATATGGAAGACATGAAGGAAAGCTCAATTAATTATATCAATTTCTGTCATAAGTCTTAAAAAAAGACGCACTGACCTCCGAAATGTACACGTCTCATGAAGGAGAAATATTATTAAATACAGACCCAGGCTTTCTACATAGTCTCATCAAATAATATTGAGTCCCCGCCACTGGTACTAAATCCTATCAGCCCACCCCGTCATGTCCGTTTTCAAGTGTGCTGCGATGAACGTGTGCAGTGGTTCGTCAGCGTTTTATCAATGAATTCTGCGCTCCCGTGATCCAATCAGCCAATGAACAGCTCGCACCTGCAGCCGTTCACAGCTTGGTAGCTTCAAGAGGTCACTACACTTTGAAACGTGGAAGGGAGAGCGTGGTGAGTTTTTAAACAGCGACAGCATTCAGCAGGGCCTTTAAACCGATATTAGAGCAGAACGGCTCATTCTTCTTCTCCTTTTAATTACAGATTGTAATGCCGGTGAAAAATAGCAACACCGTGGGTTTGGAGAGACGCGTGGATCTGGCCTCGCTTTTCTGTATGATCGGGCGGCACGGCCCAGCCGTGGCTCTGGCCGTGATAGCCATGGTGTCCATGGTGGCAGGTTTCATCATCTACCGAACAGTGAGGGGGAAGCGGAGAAAGGCCACAGCCGGAGCCACAAGCACCGATAGTGACAGCAGGGACGCCGGAGCGGAGACGCTTATACCGCCGGATCAGGAGCCGGAGCCGAGCCCGGAGGTTTTGCGCATCACGGCGGACTCAACAGGTACAGATTCGGATGAAACGTTAAAACCTGCTGCAGTTTACTAGTGCGGGAATTTACGTATAACTTGATCTATATTATTATTTCGTAGCTTTGGTGGTAGATTCAGCTTAAGCTGCGTGCGCACAGACGTCAAAACCGAGCGTACTCCCCTTTCTTTCTGAAATACAACACTTTAAGCAGCCCATAATGGACTACAGCTCACAGTATACTGGTGTCTAGCCTTGTCACAGTCACGGCAAAAGATTAGCTCTAAAATATCAGGCAGATGTCCAAAAACAGACTTTTTTATTTTTTATTATTATTATTATTGCAAAATTGAAAAAGGCTCCTCAAACATTGTTGCATTAGTAGCTTAAAGTAAGATGACAACCTTGGAGGTCTCGCCTGTTATATGAATTGTTCCTGCAGGAACAATGCAAAGTGTCTTTAATTACTTTCAGTTTTTGTTTGAAGCACCATGAGATCTCAAAATGAATGGGCACAAGAAATGTAGCTAGAACAAGTCTGCGTATTAACATTTGATACAGAAACACTCAAACTGAAATACAATTGACTGAGGCTTTGCAAGAGGTTATGGCTAAAGAACTGTGCTGATTACTTTTAAGAGTGTTTGTTTATTTCATGAAGAATGGAAAATTGATAAGTTCCAGCAATGAATGAATACATAAATAAATAATCATCTTGCCTGATTTATGTCTGATCGTTAAGAAACTTGTCAAGTACAAGCTACTCATTCTGTCAAATATTAATAGACCATTTTAATAAAATGACTGCCAGTGATTAGTAATGACTTTAATTTTTAAGAGTGCTGTAATTTGGGTCACTTCTCATCTACTCTGACTAAAATGTATGAAGTGATCTAGATTATGCAAGTCAAATTCAGTACATTTTAGAAATAAATCAAAATAAACTTAATATTCAGTGTGTTTGTGTGTCTTTCTCCTGATGTCATAGTTGTGAAAGCTGAAGGCTGTTTAGATGTGGAGGAGGATACTGCTCTTAAAATCAGGCATCGACGTCTCACTGCTGAGAAAAAAACGCCGCCTCACCGTCAACCCAAAAGTGACTCTGTACAAGACAACAAGCACAGTGCTTCAGTGCAGCAGGTAGCCGAGCTGCATGCAGAGGAGGAAGACAAAGGTGCTGAAATTGATGTGGAAACTGATGGCACAGATGGCACTATGGAGGAAGGTGAAAATAAGGTGATACAGAGCCACAAAGAAGAACTGAAGGTAAGCGGTTATCTTTACAAATTGCATATTTTGCCACAATTAAATTCACTTTTGGTAAATGAATGATTGTCTTGGAGTACAACTGATTGTGAAATTTTGCCATGGCACATGTATTCTATTGTTCAGTTACCCTTCTGTCTAGATCCCAACAACAGCAGGCACCATTGATTAGAAACCCAGCAGCTAATGACAATGAAAGTTGGCTACCAGTGGGTGGTGAAATAATGTTCAAGGTCTTGAACCCTTACGTTATCACCAACCCATTATTGGTTGTTTTTACTGAATGTGAGTTATTGGGGTCTGAAAACAATCAGGATTTTTATTTTTATTTTATTTTTTTTAAGTGAAAGTCAAACAGATTTAAAGAAGTTAAACTCCAACTTCAGCATGAACACTAATATTGCTTCAGCTTTTCTGGATTTGTAGTCATTTGTTCCCAAAGGCAAAATAACCACTGATTCAGCTTTAATGCAATTATGCCTGTTTTGCTTAGATAGCTTTACATCTAATCTATCTTTGCTCTGTATTGGTCAAAAGCTGTGAAGTGGTTAGCTTGGCTAAAGTGATGGTGTGACTTGGCAGTCATTTTGAATGTTTTGGGGTTTTGTTTTTCCCTTCGGTAAAGCCCATATCTGAATGTCTCAGCTCACCAGCATTTTCTGTGGTTGAGCATAAAGACCACATGCATAGATTCCCCAATGACGGGCAATTTTAAACAAAAACAAAACGGGGAGGGAACGCGCACACACATTTTGACTTTGCCCCAAAACATTGCTTGTAAAGCATTTCAAAACATTCTGGCTTCATTATTGGATTAATCAATAGTGCAAACATAAACAGCATTACCACACATGATTAGCTAATGTTTCATGCTTGGATTGTTTGGCTCTTTGGGTGGAGTCTCAGAGGTTAGTTTAGGGCAGGGGTGGGCAATTCCACCTGCAGGTTTTAGATCTCACCTTGGGTCAACACACCTGAATTGCATAATTAGTTCATTACCAGGCCTCTGGAGAACTTCAGGACATGTTGAGGAGCTAATTTATCAATTTAAATCAGCTGTGTTGGTTCAAGGACACATCTAAAACCTGCAGGGACACCGGCCCTCGGGCCTGGAATTGCCCACCCCTGGTTTAGGGCAAAGACTTGCAATGGGGAAATGAGTGACTTGATAAAATCTCTGTATCTCTATGTAGTTTACATATTCTCCATTAGTTTAACTGAAATGCTAGTTTGGTGGTGGTCTTTAATCCTTCATATTTTTCTAACTATTGTGTGACTAAAACATTAAGACCTAAAGATTAATCGTATGTATTTTATGCATCTAGGTACTACAAGAAAAAGGCCAAGAGGATGATGTGCCTACTGAAATGGAATTGTCGAATAAGGAGGCCAGTCAAGAGGAGGAAAACCTTCTGGACATTTCAAAGAGCACAGCGGCCAACTTGGAAGAACCAATTGTTCATATTGAAGACATACCTGTTCCTTCCATCTGTTATTTCAAAGAAGAGAATCTTCAAGGTGTCACCGATTTCTCTAATGATTATAGCAACAATCACCATTTTCCAGAAGAAGAAAAGAAAAGTGGTGGTGAGGAGGCAGAAGAGGAGTTGGTAGATGACCAACTGACTTCTCAACAAGCTGGGATCAGCTCCACAGTGTTTGTTGAAGTAACCAAGCTGCAGGGCCAGTGTCATGAGGTGATGTTATCCTTTCAACAAAATGCAGATGAAGACAATGTGAGTGATTCAACGGATATAAACTTCAACAGTCACCTGCTACAATTGGCTGAACAAAACAATGAAAGTGAGCTTGCCTGCAATCAAGACAGTGATGTAAAAGAGGAAGTACCCACTGAGGACATTGCCTCACGTGATGAAGAAAGTAATCCTTCAAGTGTAGTGCTGGACCACACCCTGCTCTGTTTGAACCATATGATCGAACCTGAAAACGCTGATAATGGTGATTCTAGCAGTGTAGCCAATGATGCAAAGGCCCAAATCTCTGGCATTGGGGAAATCTCCAGCTTGTCATCAGATCAACAGCAACTGCAAAGCAACATAAATGAAGATGACATTTCCCAAGCTCTGGGAGTCACCAGTGGGGCTGCTCCTGTCACATCTGAAGACGGTAAACTTCCTGTACTTCAGATTCCACTGCCGTCTTTTGAGCAAAGTGAGCCGACTTGGTCATCTTCTGGTCTTGGTGGTGAGAGTGGAATTTCAAGCATGACTGTCAGCCCTGATTTGCCAGATGTTATCAGTGAATATGAAATGCCAACTGAAAATGTGGCTCTCACAGTAAAAGAGCACACTGAGGCTCAGAATGGCCTCCTTGATGATGAGGCTCGATCTGCCATGAATGAAGATCTAGCAAATGTGATATCCAGATCTTACCCATCATATTTTTCCCAGCAGACCCTCGGTGAGCAAATTGACTGGGCTAATGACAGTTCTTTAGCAGCCAATGAAGACATATTGGGACATGAAATTGAGGATCGCTACTATAGAGAGATGGAACAGGCTATAGAGCAGATGGCAGCCAATGTTACTAGCTTAACCGATGAGCTCGCAGTGAAAACAGACATGAAGGCTGATATCAAGGTTGTTGAAATCAATCAGAAGATGGAAAGGGCAGAGAAAGAGAAGGAGGAAGAGGACTATGAAAAGACTGAAATCAGTATCATGGAGGCAACTATGGACAATAATGAATGGATCACAGATGGAAACTACCAAGTTCTTCCCTGGATGAACCAGTCTGTCCCTCCTTTTGCCCAAAACCACACACAACCTGAGCCAGTTTCTACTGAAGCTGACCATTCAGGTGCTTCTGTCACAGATGCTACTTGTATAGATGCATCTCTGTCCTTGAATGATGTGAAACAGGCTATCCTGCTTTCCCCTGTTCATGAAAATGGCAAAAAGGTTGTGGCAGTCCAGCCCATGTCCCAGAATGTCAATGTGACTTTCCGCATCCATTATCTCACCCACTCACCACACCAGAAGGTGGCCATCACAGGGAGCCAGCAAGAGCTGGGGAACTGGAAGAAATTCATCCTGCTCGAGAGAGCCAAGGATGGGAATTGGGCCACTGTTGTCAGCCTGCCTGCAGAGAGTATCGTGGAGTGGAAGTTTGTGGTGATGGACAAGGGTGAGGTGTGCCGTTGGGAAGAATGTGGAAACCGCCTCCTGGATACAGGCTACGGAGACGACCTGCTTGTGCACAAATGGTGGGGATTATTGTAAACGATTTGTTGAAAAGGCTGCAGTTTGAGATTAGCAGGTGCACCAGGCGTTCAAACTGTGTTCACGACCAGGTAAAGTTGTGTTTATGTTTGTCAGTAAATTGATAAAACATTATGATTAAGTTTGGGTTCAAACTGGGCTAATTTTGGTTGAAAGCAACTGTTTCTACTTGATACAGATTGCAAATTTCCAATTTTATAGCAAAAACAATAAATGATCTTTTAGTGTTAAATTCATTAGTCTATTGAAGTGAAATGCTCTTGAACTTTTTTTTCTTATTATTTGTACAAGCAAAAACGTCAAACTTGAGCCTTGCGGTGTCTTTGTTTCCCACATACCAGTTCCCCCGAGAATGGCTTTGACTTCTGCAGTTTTAAATCATTTAAACATCATTTTACTAATATAAGACTTGGAAGCATGAAATTTCAACCAGATTTATTCTAGTATAAACCTAGATGCAGTATACAGGTGACGGAAACTTCCAGCAACACAATTCCCTGACAGACTAGCTCTTATAAAACCTCTGATGGGACCTTCTAATAGCCAGTAATTAGGTATGCGTTTTCAGGGACTGGGAAATATTTTGATCAAAACACTGAACCATTACACAAGATGGCTTGATTCCCCTTTTACAATACCACTGATTATGCAAACTACTCCTCCTTAACAGGATGATTTAATGCAAGCGTAAATGAAGAGATTACTGTCCATATGCTGCTTGAATATGCCTGTCTATAAGGAAAAATGCACATAATTAAATTTTACTAAAGCAATAAATACAGCAATAATTGTTGTTACATCAGGTACTCTTAATGCGTTTACCACTAAACTGTGATGGTTGTAACTTCAATGCTGCTTTTATCTCATGGGACTATTTGCATGCAAGACAGTCCCATTGTTGTTAATAAATGTGCCTTGTGAAAATGATTTTCTACTGTGTTGTAATGCATCAAACGTGTCTTTTGAATAATTTGATTAGCTACTTAAGAGAAAATTATTCACTAGTTATCTGGTTCATCATTTGGTTCTTAATCGTGTAGTGTATATAGCCTTTGTGTCTCAGATTCTATCATTGTATCCTGATATGAAATATTGTGATGATGCTACTTAATGTTGGTTATTGTGGAGATGGTTATTAAATAAACGAATCTTAAATCTCATTCCTGAATGTTTCTTAAGCATGTAAATTTATTCAAAACTCTTTAAATGCTTTAATACACATTTAAGAAAATAGTGCCTTAAGCACTACATTTGAAGAACACTATTTTATTTATTTTAACAAAGAGCTAACATATGAGGATATGTTTTGCTGTCTGCTAATCATTTACAGCAGTTGCAACAGACCAAACCAGATGCAGTTGGTTTTTGAAGTTATTGCACCAAAAAAAACCTTTCAACTTTCAGACCACCCATTTTCCTTTTTTTTTTTTTTTTTTTTTTTTTTTTTTTGGGAACCATTGGCAAAGACTGTGACCTTGTTTTGAGTCCAGCTGGCACAGAGGTGTCTCATGCAGTGGAAAGCATCGTTAGCGGGGATATTTTCATGCCAGCTTGTCAGCTCAATTCAGCAGTGAGCTGAAGGTGACTCTGCTCTATCTGGAAAGAAATGTTTTTGATCTTCTGGTCTAGGAATTGTGGATGGTGACCAATCTGCCTATAATACAGGCCAAAATGCAGTCCTGTTAGTTACCTATTCTGTGCAGCAGAATTGATGTTTTGTGAAATAATCTAACAGTATGAAATTATATGTAAGCACTGAAATTTAAAATGCAGTACAGAAGCAATGCCCCCCTTCAGTCATTTAATTCGATTTTAAGTGCTCATTTAATTGTCAAATCAAACTCAAAGTAAGTCATGCAGAAAAATTGCTCACAAAAGATTTAAAACAATTATTCTCATTAGCACAGAGTTTAATGTGATTGGAAAGGAAGCCATCAAAAAGCTCAAATTCCAATCTTACAATCACGAGAACTTGCTTTGCTCCATCCACTTGTACAGTTCACATTTCATAGACATTTACATTTGGATAGCTCATGTCAGTCCAAAGTGATTATTACTTAATGTTGGCTTGGGTATTGAACCTTTGCAGAGTTAACATCATGTTCATCATATTTAAGCAATACCTTCTTTGACCCACTGAAAATGAGATCAATAGGACTCTGCCCAGCTCTAAGTCACGTGATTTCTGTTGTCTTCTATTTCAAAAGGGAAACCTTTGCCTCTTTGACCCAAATTTACCAGAAGATGTATTCATACTGCACAGACTCTAGGTTTACATTGATGTAGACATGTAGTAAAAGTGGAAGGAAAAATTATCTTTAAGTTAAACCTTTTGCAAATAAATGAGATACATTTTACAACATGCACAATTTTGGAGCACACTCCCTCACTTGTGCTAACATGCCAGCTGGGGGTTGGAGTACCTTTTATTGTTAAGGCTAATCCTTTATTTAGATACAAGGCTTGCAAGTGACACCACTTAAGCCAGGGGTGTCCAACTCCAGGCCTCAAGGGCTAGTGTCCTGCAGGTTTTAGATATCACCCTGGGTTAAAACACACCTGAATCAATTAGTTTATTACCAGGCCTCTGGGAAAACTTCAAGACATGTTGAGGAGGTGATTTAGCCATTTAAATCAGCTGTGGTGGATCAAGGACACATCTAAAACCTGCAGGACACCAGCCCTTGAGGCCTGGAGTTGGACACCCTTGACTTAAGCTCTTCTTATAGATAGCTCATTTCAGATCTTTCTGTCTCTACATGAGCCTCTATACTCACCTGCTGTGAGTATCAGTATTTGTCAAATAGCTAAACACTTCAGCCACCATTAAACTGTTGTTTGAGCTCCTGTAAGGCTGGCGTCTTAACACTGAGTCACCAGTCTAATCTGGAAACAATTTCAGGCTCTTAACATATTTAGACTGCCTAGACTGAACAAAGCCTTCAAATCAACAGTCTCAAATGGTTAGTCAGCTGTTATATTTATGTTCCCCTGTGAAGTATATTCATGTGCTCTGGATGGGGAATGACCTGCAGGGTTACAGTCCAACCAGTTGAACGTAGTTTTACTGAACCCCCAATCACATAAAGTGATTTCTTTAGTTCAGAATTTACTGATCCCACTTTCTTGAATACACTAGAGATGATTTCAGATGGTTTCTTTCCACGATTAAAGCATTTGAAAATCAGTGTGTTTTAAATACACAGCCTTCAGACCTGAACAGCATTGACTCTGAAATAACAGAAGTACGTAAAAAGCTGATTTAAACCACAACAATACCACAGATTTAAATCCGTGGTATTGCTCAGCAAAGCTCAGCAATTTTTAAAATATAAATGCCATAACCATGTTGATTCTTGAGTATGATAGCAAAGAACACTCAGAAATTCAGATATGCTTGGTTTGTCTTAAGTGAATATGTCTTCAGACACTTAAAAGTTGTTCTTAACATAAACCAGAGCACTGTCTCCTTGGCTCTACCACATAACAATTCTTAGTTCAAGTTGGACTGCCAAGTGTGAAATTCTTTCTCTTGAATTTCAGACTGTCTCTTCTTACAGAAGCCAACCAGTAAGATTGGGGGGGGGGGTTGTATGCAGGTGTCTGTTCTGTTTTTATAACTCACTGTTTTTAACAAATTCTTTGAATGTATGTATTTTCCCTTCACTCCACTTTCTTTTCTTTCCTCCATTTTAGACCATTTTAAACCAGCACTGTTGGCTATGTCTGGCTCAATAAATATTAATGGGGTAAAGGATTTACCCTGCTTCTTTTGATGCTTTACTACTGTTTTTTATTATTCTTACGTGATTATTTAAAGATATGGGACGAAGGGTCAATTTCTAAGTTATTCCAAAATGTAAGAATGACCAAGTTAATAGTCATAATGCCATGTCATAGTTAGGGTGTGCCATACATGCAGGCTATTAATAATATAACATGCAAGAGCTTCTCCCTGCTCTGTACAGTGAGATCCTCCGATGACCTTCACTGGCCTGTCAAGCATGCTGGCTGCGCTGCATGGCCACGAAAGGAGGAGCAGTCAGTGTGGGTTAAAGTGGAAAGGAAGGAAGCTACATGAGCAGAGTTTTATCAGTGTAATACAAACTGATTTCCAGTGTTAAAATACAATTTAACATGGAGACTTTCAAAAGATTTTAATTTATTCGTCATGTCTTCACTCAGTGGCTTTAATAATTATTTTATTGGCCTACATGTTTCTTGTCTACTTATTTTTGGTCTTCTATGCAGTCCCTCGGTTTCTATGTTTAAAAAGAAATGCACTGCTCCATAAAGCCCCAGGCAGTACAAACTGACCTGTTTCTTTATAAGCCAACTAAAAGCTCTTCTGGATCTGTGCCACACTGGAACAGCCCTCTGTCAGTGAGGTCGTTGCTCGCCGTCTCAGAGGACACTGCAGTTGTGAGATGAATGCAGCTGTGTTTGTGTACAATGGGAAGTGTTAGTGAAATACGTGATTGTGAGGGATGTTACGTCCCTCTGCAGCTTTTAATCGTCTCAGTGTTTTCAGCTGGTGCTAATTGGCCACACCTAGTCAGGTGTGGATAAAAGCATACCTGAGGCAAGCTTTCCGGCAGTGCACTAGTCTTTGCCTTGGTGGCACCAGCCATTTTAGCCAACCTGGTTTTCCATTTTAGGATGAAACCTCTTCTCACCCACACGCTGTTATTCATCTCCTTTTTTTTATGTTGCGGCTTTTGAGCCGGGTCGTAACAGGGACAATACACACAGCTGCACACATATTGCAAAAGAATCTGTGTGAATCTGTGCTTCGTAAACAAGGTCAGGTTATGAATTTGTTTTTTAAATTGGCACATTTTTGGGCCTCTTGCAAATCCTGACAATTCTGTTCTCTGATACAATAACTGTGTGTGTATATAGTTTTATTGCATGCATGTTTCAATAAATCTACAGTACTTGTATATTTAAACAGCCTTTAAGGTGTCACTTCATTCTGACAGACAAAACTGCACGAGTGTGTATTTTTGCTTCTTCCCATCTTTCCTCCCATGTCACAAAAACTCTTTTATTGAAGAGAGAAATTCAGTCACAGGCAACAAAATTTGTCGATTTTATAATTCAAATGTGTTGCCTGGTGACCCCTGATCTTTCCCCAGTATGACACTTCAGCCTTTGCAGGCTCTATTTCGAATGTTGTGAAAATGTGAACACACAGTTACAGAGACGACACTGACCCCTGGCTGTAATTGGAAGATGCTGAGCTTAAGCTAGTGCCTAAACAATCAAGAACCAAATGTTAAATGAACAAATAGATAATAAGGAAAAGAACAATAAAACAATGTTCAAATATCTTTATGTAAAAATTTATTATAACTAAAAAGAAAACAGTATAATAGACTTCAATTCAAATTAAATCACCAATTGATAATTGTTCAGATTAACATGTGACATTTCACCTGAGAAAAAACATGCAGTAAAGATAAGTAGTATAATAATCCAGTTGTTTCAGTTCAGCTGGTGGCAGGTTCAACATTTTAAAATAAACAAAAAGAAAACAATGTAGGACAGAAACCAAGAAGAATGTCACATTTTTCTGTCTCTTTTAACTAATTTCAGGTTAACATTAACATATTTTCAACAGATCAAACATAAAGCCTTTTTACCAAACCAACATTGGCTCAATTAAGACCTTTAAATCAATCATACCATATGATTCTTAATTTAAAAAAAATAAATTTGAAATGTTTTGAGCAATAATTCCCCAGGCTTTCTAAAGCTCTTTCAAAGTTTTTCTTTGCTTTTTCACCCATTCAGTCCTGTCCTTGTGCCTGACAATTTTCAGACGAATATTTTTGTTCATTTTGTTTGCCAGTTAACACTGACCAATGAGTTTTTAAAAAAAATTAACCTAACTGAATGAACCTGGACAAATGGTGGACTAAAGAAGAAGTGACAGGTCAACCAACTATCTACGACACATGAACAGTACCTGAAAATCCTGAACTTAAGAAATAAGGGTGAAAACCCACCAAAGACCTGACCTCAGGCTCTTCAGGTGATCCATCCACTGTTCACTAAAGGTTAATCAGAAATGATCTCAGTGTAAGATTGGCTCTCAAGCAGCCTTTGTTAAGAAAGGAAAACAGGTGGGAAAAGGCTAATCTATGCCAAACTACTC